CAGTATGATGCTCTGCAGGCAGGAAAAATACAACTTCTGTTCGAACCAAAAACTTTTGTAAGATATAATCGGGAGACAGAACGGCTTAGCTTTTACAGCTGTCGATATTGTCAGATCATATTAGCGTAAGAGCTTTAATCAGGTCTTTTCAATCTATTTCAATATTGCTTCATATTTGAGATAATCGTTACTAATCAACCAGTTGTACTTTGTACCTTCCAGATTATTACTCCGGATTATTAAGGAGTAAGGGGATTGAATGCAGAACACTTTTTTCTTGGTCTGAACAGGTAACTCCGCTTTTTCTGAGCACTTGCTGCAATTAACGAGAAATGGCCTCAGTATCAACCGTCTCACCGACTATCGCTCCACTGTTCAGTGAAACCTTTTTTAACTAAAATTATCATCCATTCAAAAAGGCTGGCCCCATAAGCTTGAACGAATAGGATCTTGGTAAAAGTAAATCCATCAGCGTTGGATGTCTGTCATTTTAATGGACCATGCTGCGGAATTCTAAGCATTTCCAAGTTTTTGCTTTGTAAAAGGACATTTCCTGTCTTTTTATCTGTCACTGATCCAAGCATCAAACTCATTTCAATCTTTTCGATTTAGGTGATCCATGAACTATTGCAAAGTATAAACTACCTCATCTTTTTAGTTCTAATATTCTGATCTGGCAACGTAGCCGTAACTGCTATCCGCAACCTGATGCTTCAACGTCCACAGACATACAAAAAACACTGTTACTTGTCGTTTTGTTGTTTTTTGTGCTGTCGATGGTTATTCTACTACGTGCCTTCAGATGCTCACTGGTCTCAAGCAGATATGGCATCTTCACAGCTAAGAATAAAACTTATACGAGTACAAGGTTGAGTGTAACTTTGCAAGCCATAATACAGTTTTCTACACGATCTAGATTAAAACTTTATCCAGTTTATCTGAAAATTAGTTTTTAAAGGTTAAGCTGACTGCAACTCAAATATGTGAGACGTTTAGACCTTTTTATACGAGTTTATCTTTAGATGTACAAGTATGAAGATGATTTTTTCTAGTGAATTGCGGGTACGAAACCTTTCAAACCGGTTAAATAATTGGCACTCGGCTGATGTACAGCCTAATAGCAGCAAGTGAATTAATATTCTAGGTTATTCTCAAATAATTTCGACCCAGAAAAATGAGTTTAAATTGAGTCAGTAAGCCCCAGTAAATGCACTAATGTAAAATACGTCAAAGAATCATAAACTTTCCTAGAAATTATGTTTATCTAAGTCGTCTCCTTTATTGCAATAGCCATTTTTTCTCATCTAGTGTTAAGAAATAATTACTTATTAGTTAATATAAGTTAAAATCTGGTTTTCTACCGGGTACGCCATCTTTCATGTCGGTATTGAAACATCGAATGTCTGTGATATTTACCAACCGAGTGATTTGGTTATACGTATTTGTGAAACGTAAATTTACTACACTTTTAGTCACGAATCGCTTTACACCGAAACAACGCGCCGAAATACTCACAATGTACATTGAAAATCTTCGTTCAGTTGTGTTAACGCAACGTGCATATCGTCGAAAATGTGGTAAACAGGCACCGTCTGACAACACTGTCCGTCGTTTGGTTGCGAATTTTCTTGAGTACGGGACAGTGGGAGATCGTCAACAGACCGTTCATCAACGACCAAGACGTTCCAATGAATTGGTTGAAGCAGTCAGAGGCAGCGTTGCCCAGAACCCAAAAGTGTCGTATCGTCACCGCGCTCAGCATTTTGGCATCAGTGGAACCACGTTGCCGCGCATTCCGAAGGATGATTTGCATTTGTTTCCTTATGAGGTGCAGTTAACACAAAAAATATGTCCAACTGACCGCCCACGTCGCTTGGAATATGCCCAAACAATCGATCGCAGGATTGATGGTGAACCTTATTTTTGGAAGCAAATTGTGATGACCGGCGAGGCCCATTTCACGCTTTCTAACGGCGTTAATAAGCAAAACTTCTGCATTTGGGGTACGAAAAATCCACATGAGATCCAAGAAATGGCGTTGCATGATCGAAAAGTGACCGTTTGGGCCGGCGTTTGTGCCAAAACCATCATTGGGACATTTTTCTTCAACAAAAAAGTCGATGGAAATCGATGTCGGTGGATGTTGGCTCATTGGCTGCCCACAAATGCGTGAGAAATGGTTACTAGTTTCAACAAGACGGTGCGCCATTCCTCACTGCAAATGAAAACGCAGCAAAACGGGCACATTTTGTTTTGGCCAACAAATGTGGCCACTTGATAGATGTTGTGTTCAAAAACTAGTCCCAATAAATTGTAAAGGACCATACTTATTAAAAATACCCGATATATAGAAATCAGTTTTTCGTTTTCAAAGTTATTTCATGTTTACATACCGACATAAAAGATGGCGCACCCTGTATTAGACGTCCTATCTAAATGATAATTCATTCTTCAACATGAAACTTTCAACATTAAATTAGAAGCTAAAGCTTGTAGGTCACGGGTTGACCTAAACATGTCAGGGCCTGACTTCTGTAGCTACTTTTCGTCTGAACTACATATATATATATATATACATATCATTCGAAGACAATAGAAACAAAAAGAACAGAGATATGTTGAATATTTTGCAACTGGTTGGGAGGTGGTACCTAAGACAAAACGAAGTGTGAAATGTGTCTGGGAGTCTCGCAAAATGTTACTAGTAACGTTACGGTCTGCACTCGTCTTATCCATAATTGTTGTATAAGTCATAGCTTATTAACCTAGTACTTGCGAGCTGAAGTACACACTTGATTGCATAAGATGATTTTATCAAACAGGACAGTACAATGTCGATATGGCATCGATGCGCCTATTTGCTGATTTTTGTGTATTCACACTTTCTGAGGATAAATTACTCCAGTACATTTTGCCTTTGCTTTACTTTTCTTGTAAAAAATGTACATGGATTTTTCAAGTTCGAGTGTTTTCAACGAGTACTGTTGTCTCAGACAGAGAATAGAGATTAGAAGCAGTTTTTCTCTCTCTAGGATCTTTTTATATCGTCAATTTTGCATTCGAGGCAAGCAGCCCCTACCTTGTGCAGTTCCTTGCGTCTAGGTCCAGTACTGCCCACAGCTGAGATCATCTCGGTTGCGCCGGGAGAACTTGACTGGAGGAAGACCACCGGCAAGCTAAGTCTAGGTTTAGGCGCTATATTTGTAAAACCGTATACCATGGTAGACGTTTAGCGGGATTACATTTTGAATATCTCCTTGTGCGGCAATTTTAGACATCTTTTTTTTAACTTGCACTCCAGTGGTGGAACCTTTTTTCTATTGTGGAAAATTTTCATTGTTTAATTGTTTCATATATTGTGTTTTTTTAAATACCTTGTTCTATGTTGCTCTGTGTACAGTTTATTAGGTTACGTCATTGCTATTAGATTCTTTTCTTTTGTGTGGGCGGTCAAGCATTTGTGGCTTAATCCGTCTTGAGTCACTGGCGCTCTTACCCTCCCCTCCTTCTACTCCTCTTGGCTCGCCACTAGAAAGCTGTTTTGCATTGACTGACTCTTGGATTTCGTTTATCGTATTTTATTAATTCATCAACTAATGAACTAAAAAAAGGGAAAGAGGAATCACACAACCATTTCCTCCTGTTTATAAAAGAGGCGCGGCAACAAGATTTGAAATAACATCACTGGTCACAGAATCAGACCAAGATAGTTTAGGTTTTACACAATTCAACCCGGTTTTCCTGGAAGCATGTCTTTTCCTAACACAAGTTTTTGTAGTGAGTATGTGCGTGTGTGTCTAAGTGTGTGTAGGTGTGTATGTGTGTGTTTGAAGACAAGACATAGGCTAAAGGTCAAGCTGGATCTGTGTTAACTTGTTACACATTTTTTTCAGTCGAAGTAGTTTGCAATAGATATTAGCTTAATGCTCCAAGACTCCTGGATTTGGAAGTGAAGAAACATGCCACAACCTGTAAACTCGATAATTGAAAGCCCAAATAATTGATGCAAAGCGGTGTTAAAAAACCGTCAAGTATTTTAATAACTCTCTTTTATCCACAGCCTTAAATCACGATAGACAGGCCTGGATTGATAATTAAATTTAGAGTTGCTCATCAAGCTTTCATTAGCAGGCTTGCGATTCGCTCGATTAACATACACCTCCGCATAAACATCGACAAAATGAGCTGTAGTATGTTCAGTTTAAATTTGCAATTTAACAGGCCCGAACAAATGTTTCATATACATTTTCAGCTCGGATGGGTATATTACACAAGCTGCATTCGTTAAGCACTTACCATCTTATTTTGTTGGTCCTTTTTACATCGTTTAACTAGATATTATTCTGATACACATATTTCTATAATGTGAATTGGCACTATAATATTAACATACACATATTTACTTACTATACCTTACCTTAAAACGACCATTTTGAAGAAAATTAATTCGCAATAATTCAAATCATTACGTAGAAATCAACTATAAAGAAGAAAGGAATCTCTGGAAGTATTGTAGAAGCAGCAGCTACAGGTGATATCATTCTTCAGCCATTTTAATTTCACTGACAGGGTATGAAAATCTGACAAATTGAGACACACTTCAATATTGGTGACACAATTAATATATTTCAAACCTATATTGCGAGTAATTAATACATTTGAATCGGTGAGTCCAAGAACAGTACAAGTCCAAAAAGATAGTTCTGAGAAAACGCGAAAAAACTTCATAGCTCCCGAATGTGTAGAGTTACCGTTTTGGCTATCATACAAAAATGGTAGTGATTCTTTATATGAATACTAATTTTAAATAAAAAATAGACAAAAATCACACCCCTCGAAGTAGTAGAAGGGTGAAGTTCATGGACTTGTACTGTTCTTGAACTCAGTCTTTTTTTTGTACATTTTTGCAGATTTAGCGTATAATAGAGTTGGAAAGGAACTCTTATAGAGGCTGCTAGACATATGAAAAATGTTTTATTGGGCGAATCCATACAAAAATATTAGTCATCGGGATCTCCGTTTGCGTAGCTTTGCTTCCAGGAAGTTACATGGTAGTAAAATTCTAATGTTTCACCGTTAATGTACTTCATGACTTTTTTGATATCGGTGATCTTCTTATGGTTGATGGGAACCGGCTCTTGATATGCGCGTATCTCTGGCAAAGGAGGACTTGGTTTGTTCTGTTCGAGGAGCTTAAAAGTATAAGAAATAAAACCATCTATATATTCATAGGTAGTAACATATCCTGGAGAAGAACTATCATAAACAAACTGCCTCTACTTTGAAACAGTGAATGCCTGCGTGGTATCACCAGGTTTAGGGATCGAAGACGTAGTTTTTTTGTCGCTAGAAGGCCACCAATTTTTAAAGTCAATGATATCTTTGTAGGTAATCTCTTTAAAAGTAAACGGGTTGTTCTTCCTGCACGATACTATTATCTCTTGATATTCTTCTGGTAAATACACTCGGTCGCTTCTTCGTACAAGTTTTTCAAAGTTCCAAAGTCTCTATCGCAGGGCAAGAACGAGTGCCCCCGTACAGGAAAATAATGATAAATTTTTTTGAACCGTTTGGTTGCTTGTAGAGCTAGGAAAAATGTCACTATTGTGTTATTCCGATTTTGACCAGGACAGCCGTCAGAAAATATATGCAGCTCTGACACGTTTCCAGGAATGTGAGTCTCTATGTAGTTTTTGAGGAATGTGCAGACCTCGTTTGGTCCTTTGCAGGCATGCCCTTCGTGGTATGTGTAAAAATGTCCAGAATTGTCTGATAAATTATGAATTTCTAAAGCATATACCCATAGTTGCCGAAAATAAAAGATCTCTTGAACTGGTATATTCGGGAGCGGTAGATTTTGAATGTAATCTAAAGTAATACCGGCAACTTCAGGTCGATTTTGACAGAGTTTTTGGATATCCTGCGGTTTATTATAAAATTTTTTGGCACGTCGCTTATGGACTATCAGTTCTGCTGTGGCCACTCGCTTTGCATTATCATTCAAATCTTTACTTTTAATCTTGGCGCCTAATCGTTCGCATTCGGAACAGACGTCCACCTGTGGTCTTCCAAATTTGAGTGCATAATTTTCCTTGAAGTACTTTAAATAGAATTCATACTTAACATATGCTGCAAATCAGGATTTTCTTTAATAAATAGAGAGTGCATTGTTTTAACATTTAGCCTAGCATCTAGGTATTGATGTACTCTAGAAGAATAATGAGTACTTTTACGTGGGAAACGTTCTATGTGCTCCCTAATTCTGATTAGTATTTCATCTGATTTGGAACGTGGCCTGTTATTGTGTAGGCCCCTTAAATCTCTTGGAGATGCGCCAGTCACAAGCAATGCAGTTAAGCGTTGAATTTGCATATGTGACACACCGTAAATACTCATGAAAGCTCGCTTGCATACTGCCACACGGTTTCCAGAGCTCTCCAATATAGAGTAATTAAAACTTGCGGATTTGGGCTTAGCATTAGCTTGGGCTCGTCCTCTACGTCTTGAAATGGTTGTCACCTCAATTAGGCCTTGAAGACATGTGTCACTTTCATTTTTGGGCCTACCGTCATATAGTTTGGAAATTAAGATGGTTTTTTCTTCATCGGGAAACTTCTCTGTGCACTTCTCCTTGCACCTTTAAAATACGCAAGTTACTACTATGTGCTTTTTAGTATCGATAATAACACTTACCCACATGGAGACCCAGATGATTTTGGTGCAACCCTTTTTCCGGATGTAGAAACATAGGCTTCACCTTTAAGAGCAGCAGTTTTCCTTTTATTGTCTTTCCAAACTTTCGGATTCCTTTTTCGCTTTCTACTCCCATGCAAACCTTCGGCACTATCATCACTCTCGTTAGAACTAATCATTGTTGTTCTCAAAAATAACTGCTTCCAACTATTAAGTTTGTCTCGGCAGTGAGATAACCTAACTCTTATAATATTTATTATCGCCACCTCGCGCGCGATGTGTGACACCCACATCAGTGAGGTCGAAAACAGTACATGTCCTGGACTTGTAATGTTTTCCATCTCAACGCCGTAGAGAGGTGGCGCGTATAGCCGAATTATTCCTGTAATGTTTTTAAGCACAACACACGAGTCTTCGAATTTTAAACAATTTGGCTATCTTAACTCAATACGCCATTTTTTGGACTTGTACTGTTCTTGGACTCACCGATTCATTTGTACAATGAACAAGAAGAAAAAGAAGGATAAGCCGATAGATGAAAAGGAACTGAAACCGACTAAAAACTTGGACATACAGAAAATATTTGATACACCAACTGACTAACGAAAATACAAGATTACTAGAACAGCATAATTTAATCACTACAAAAGTACTTTAAAAGGATTCAGTTATATCAATGGTAGATGAAATAAGTAAAAGACTAAGTGACGTTTAAAAAAACAGAACAGTCATATGTACAAGTTTTAAAACAAGACACTCCAAATAACAAATATACCCACTGAAAAGTATAATTGTTACGCCAAATCAAAATCAAACTTCCGAAGAAACAAGCAAAGACCAAAACAACAGAATTCAACTTTCGAAACTGAAAATACAAGTTGATAATGTACAGAATTCAAAAAATGGAGGGCTTACAATCAAACTCAAATGGTGGGATTAGGTATGTGAGAAATAATCTCCATTTTATGACATTTTTGTTATTGAGTACGAACTCAAAATTACAAAATCAAAATTACTTGAATCTATCGCCCGCCATCTTCAGATCGTCATGCATTTATAAGAAACAGAATTTTTTTTAAATAACAATGAAAACTTACAAATTGATCATCATATTTTTATTGGTGATATTAACATAAGCATTTTAGATGAAACTGCGATTACGAAAGGATACTTAAATATTTTATCCAGTATTGCTTTTGTGTCTTAGGTATATAAATAAACAACACGAGCTGCTAGTGACACCTGTATTGACCACTGCTTCATAAAACCATTTTCATGTAATTTTTCTTATACTCCTTTAGTTTATGAAAGTGACATTACCGATCACTACTCCCTTATGTTAGTAGTATGTTCACAGAACAAGAATCGGACAAGTAACATGTCCAAAAATAAAAGTCACACGAGATTCAAGTATTCCATCGATAACACAAATTAATAACCAATGCTGAAAAGGAATCGTGGAACGAGCTTTATTTATCAAATACCATAGATGAAACCACAAACATACTAATAAGCAAAATTAAAAAAATAATAGAAGATAGTACAAATAAAGTAAAACTAAATCATAAAGAGAAGGGTAGAAGCAAATGGATAACTAAAGGGTTGATAAAATCCACAAATAAAAAAAGGTTCTATAAATTAAAGAGAGAATTACCAACGAAAGAAAACATAGAAAATTATAATCAATACAAAAATAAATTTATAGAACTTGTACGAGAAGCTAAACTAAGATACTATTTTCAGAGACTGAATTATAATTCATACGACTCAAAAATACTATGGACTACTGTTGATGATATTTTCAAGGGAAAGCAACGATCCGGAAATGAAATTACTCAGATGAAAACGGAAACGTGTGAAGTAACAAATGAAAATCAACGAATATGCGATGAATTTGTGATTTTTTTTACAAACGTCGGAGAAAAATTGGCAAATAATATAATAAGCGATTCTAATAAATTTAAGTTACTTGGAAAAAGGTTAGTAAACTCATTTGTTCTGACCGAAGTTGATGCTTAAGAAGCTTTTAATACTATTAAGTCACTGAAAAATAAAAAAAGCCCATGATCTGATAAAATCAGAGGTGAACATGATGATGGCCAAGCAAATATAAGAACCATTTGCTTATGTTATAAATAAATGTCTACGGTCTGGAATATCTCCCTCAGCTTTTAAATCAACTGTTATCATTCCCATCTATAAAACAGGCGTTACGAATTATCGACCAATATCACCCATATCGTCTTTGGCTAAGGTATTCGAAAAATTACTCTCTAGCAAGATGAAAAATTTCCTTGATAAATTCAAAATTCTAAGTCCAAATAATTACGGTTTTGTAACAGGAAAATCTACCACAGATGAGGTACTAAGTATAGTGAATTAAATAAACGAAAATCTTGATGAGAAAATTCCATCTGTTTGTGTATTTGTCGATCTGAAAAAGGTATTTAATCAGTCAATCACACTTTACTGTTAAATATTATAAATTGGGTTTTCGTGGAAAATATATTCTTTGATGCAAAGTTATTTATCAAAAAGGCCCTAAGTAATGAAACTATTAAAATCATACAATAATAATGTTTGTCAAATGTGGTGTACCTCAGCGTACAGTGTTAGACCAATACTATATAAAGGGCAAGACTGGTATGTAAACAAAATCATTGAGAATGACTTTTATAACTAACTAACTTTGAAAAACGCATTTTCTACACTACTTCACATCATATGCAGGTCATCTACCCGATTATTAAAATACTTCTTTCAAAATAAACAATAGAAATTTAAAAATTGACAGTGTTGGCAATATCAAATATTTAGGAATTTTCTTAGACCAACATTTAAGGTGGGATATTCATGCAGCCTATATTTTAAAGAAAATAAGGTTTGTTATATACTAAATGTCTACTACTAATACTACCTCGTACTTGCCTCCGCTATGCTCTCGTGATACCCACCATTTTAGGTTAAAGTGAGAGGTTACGTGCTGCACTTGGTTGATAGTTTATCAGTCTTTTTGAATTAATTAATTGAGATTGGTGCATACAAATTTTTAAATATTACCAGACATTCACCACAATACTCTTGTGTTAGCAATTTACTAGAGCTTGATAAATATGGCCGTTATTTCTAAAATAAAATGATTGTTTCTTACGTTATTTTTCTTTTCAGGTAATGTGCGAGACCTATGTTTCCACGGTTAACGGTGATAACTCGGCTAGTGAGGCAACAACACCTAGCATATCTTACAGAGCATCAAACAAAGTACGTTAGCATAGCTGTGTTTTAGTCTTTCAGCTAAGGCACAATCTTTAAGCATAGCGGTCATATTAAGGTAAGGAAAAGTTCTTCTCCTGTATATTGCGGTTTACCCATGAAGACCTGACTAAGCCATAACGTCTATCAATACAAAAGCGATACCAAGTGGATTCAGTGATTTTTGCATGCACTATTTGACGAAGAGTAATTGAAAACCTCAATTCAAAAAGAGTTTTGTTTTCTTTCATATTTACGTACTATGTGCACCGAGTAATAATAATCACCAGCTGCAGAAATAAGGCTACGAGAGAATACAATATCGACTTTGTCCGAAATTACTTATTTAAAAAGTTGAATCAACTTCTCTACCCAACTAACGATTATCACTCCTGTTAGGGTTGCAAGAACGTTTATGCAGTATATTTATAGCACTTTAGGTTGCAAGAGCAATGGCAAAGCGTTCTCAGAACAGCTATACAAGCGGAATTGGTGCACCTAATAGGACAATTCAGTTACTTGAGATGTGTTGTATAAGGGGTAACAGTTATACAACAAAATTGTAAACACCCGCTATATCCGCTAAATAACGTTTGCGTCAGTGCAAGATTCAACTTTGGTCAACTATACAACCAGTATGTTAGACGATTCCACTTTATTGCAACTAAACTATTTTTGATGTACTGAGTAGGCAAGATAAAAAAGATTTTCAAGCTAACACATTACATTCATCTTCATCACTGTCATATCGGCCATTGTGAATTTCATACATAACTAGCTTTCTGCTAAGTTGCTACACTGTAGTATAAGCCTATTGAGTGACTTGCCCAGCAATTTTTATTGTGATTACCGTGCAAAGTAGTGACGTAGTTTCTACGGGCTTCGCATTTGGTTCTTATTTTAATATTGATCAAAAGTATGTCCGTATTTCTAAAATGAAACTCTGAAGTTATCTGCTTTAAATCATCCACAAAAACATTGTCTAACTGTTACATCTGGGTGAAACAGAATTATTTGATGTTCAATAGAGGACTATATTGTTTACCCAATATGGAGGGTTATCTCTAATCATGTCGTCCTCCATATTGTGAATGGCATATTAGAACATTTTGGTGTTACCCGCAAATGTTATACAGCAATTTAGCAAATCTCTGAAATGAAATGTGATCAGAGTCGAATGCTTTAATCAGAATTGTACCACTATCTATTTGAAGATTTGATAAAAATTTTATAACGAATACTCGTGCGTTGCTTGTCTTGAAGAAGAAAAATGATGGTTATGGCATTTAACCTAAAAATATGACAGCTAGAGACTTAGGTTACGGTGAAGTTGTATATCTATATACCAAGCAACAAATATATGCTGAGCACATCAATTTTATTCTTGTATAAAGCTTGAGGAGGTTATGAGAAGTATCATTTGCACTTTTTAATCATTCGAGTAAATTGAGAAAACAAATATTTCAATTAGAACCTTCAAGTATTTAATTTTTTTATTTACCCTATGTGTGTCAATTCCTATATAGAAATAATTGTATTCCGAAGTAATCTTGTGGGTTTTGAAATTTAGTCAAATCAAATAAAATATATATCAAATGACACCTTTTGATCCAGTAGCTTGTAACTATCACCATTTGATTCGCTAGTTTTGTAAAATGTCACCTTTTGAAAGTCACTGTCTAAAAAGTCTCGCCATATGATTAAGCATTTGGAACTGGCTAGACCAGGGGTCGGCAACCTTTTGAGACGGAAGACCCACAAGTTACTATTTACAAAAACCAGCAATTCCATTTGAAACCAACCAATATTAATTCCAAATGGGTCAATGTTGATCTCATTTATATTTGTGTTGAGAGGATTTACTATGAACTGCAGGCTCGTGTTACCGACCCCTGAGCTGAACTATGCTCGATATGTAACACTTTTAAAATGTACCTGATTTGAACCGTAACGACTCTTCAAACGTATTTTCTAAAGAACTGACACTTTTTGATGTTGAAGTCTTAATCAGTACTGTGATGGAATAAAAATGTAACCTTTTGTTCCAGAAGCAGAGGTTCAGATCCATTATTCTATGAGATAAGTCACTTTTTGAGCCAAATATTGGCACGTAAATATAGACTTTAACCC